TTAGTGTGCCCGGCAAATATGTGATGAGGATATTATAATACCACGACCTACGGGTCTATTACTGTCAGTGTTCTCTCTGACATAGACCAGGCATTCTACATATCCTTATTGAAACAACTAAACCCCTACTTTTTGATGCACAAAAGGGACTTACTTTTCACATGACAACAGTCACAGGGCTTGGAGTAGACAAAATTTCATTTACCAACCCTCTGTACCTCCTCGGGAGAAATATGGGCAATGCCTCTGGGCAAGGTGACCACCTGCAAGGTCAACATTCCATATTACAGCACTGGTTGACAGGAGTCCTGGCTGCTTTGCTACTGATCCAGCTCTCTGCTATTGTACCTGGGAAGACAGAAGGATATAGCCCAAGTGGGAGACTGGAATGGAGCTGCAGGCTCTCCTGGCTTTGGATCAGCCCCAGCCATTGTAGCCATCTGGAATCTGGAGAGTGAACCAGCAGATGGAAGATTTCTCTCTCATTAAAAATGACCAAAGTGTTTGAGCCTCTCACACTCACATAAGAGACACGGGTGAAGTTCCAGGCTCCTGACACTGACCTGACCCAGCAAGAACCATTGTAACCATCTGGAGAATGAACTAGCAAGTTGGAAGGTCCTTCTCTGTGTGCATGTGTGTGCATCCTTTTCGCTCTTCGCTGTTACTCTTCCTTCCGACTAATAAAATAGTTTTGAAGATTTACTTATTTTTATTTGAAAGTCAGATTTAGAGAAAGTGAGAGAGACAGAGAGATTGTTTTCAAGATTCACTCCTGAAATGAAGACCACAGTAGGACCGAGCCAGGCTGAATGCGGGAGCCTGGAACTCCATGCAGCTCTCTCACACAAGTGGCAAGGGTCCAAATATTTGGGCCATTTTCTGCTGTGTTTAGAACAGGGTTGGGAAAAGGGCCATGTGGATATTCATAACATCATTTACAGGCCATATAAAATGATCAATTTCAATATTAGTCTCCTAGATCTTGTAAAATATCTGAATTAACTCACCCCTAATGTGATGGTTGGAGATTCTCCTCTTTGGTGAAGTGCGCCCTGTCAGGCAGCACCAGTGATGTTTCTGCTCACAACTGCTTTTCAGTGGGTCAGTCTGGAGCGCAGAATCTGCAGCAGCTGAGTTCTGGTGAACACAGCTGCCTGTTGCAATGTATGTCTCCTAACGGGAGACTTGTCATGGCTTACATTCTATTCACCTGCTTTCAGCTCATCATCAGTTTGCAGCTGAAAGAGTTCACGTTGTAGATGATCAGACACATTAGCTGGTCCCTCACAGAAGGGCGCAGCAAAGATGTTCAATTCTGTCTGCCTCCTTTTCCTGTGCTAAAATCTCCCATTAAATATCTCAACGAGCTTGGCTCATTCATGGTACATTAAAGTGTTGTGGGAGGTTTCTGTCCTTCCAGTGTGGGGAAGTGCACCATGTTGCTCCTTTCAAGTTCCGTGCTCCACAGCCTTCATTTAGCTTGAATTATTTTTGCATTTGAAAGCAGGAAGCTGGCCCTGTGAGGTTCCTGGTGACGTGCACCACGCATGCGGGATCCCACAGCCACTGGCCATCACTGAGTTCCTTCACACATCTTCCTTTCATCTTCATCAACTGCTTGACTTCCACAGTTCGTCATGTTCCCATCACTCAGCCACCACACTTCACGGTGACAAAGTCACCACACTCAGAGTCAACTGCATTCAATAAACCCTTAACTGACATCCCCTTGTTGAGCCCCAACAAGTGTACCCAAGAGATTTTCTTGGTGCATGGTGCCATGGAGTGGCACATAATTAAATCATTTGGATCAGGAAAAAAAGATGTATTATTTCATTTTTTAGCAAATGCAATGAACTCTTTTTGCAAACCACCTAATCCTGTAATAAGGCCAATTCACTTTTCAGATGTTCACTCAAGTTCTGTCCAGTGATAAAGGAGCCTGTCAAACAAGTCCTCACCTCTGGTAGTCCGTCCCATCACGGCTTCCAGGGACGGCAGTTTCTCTCATGTGTGAAAGGCTGCAGTCATCCCAGGAAGGGAAATGCTCCATTGAACAGTAGTTCTTATTTCCATTGTTTTGTCACAAGTCAGGAAGGAAAACTGCAACTCTCTCGCAAAATTTTCGGTCTCTTGTACTAAGCCAGTGTCAGATCTGAGATGATCCTGAGACACAGCTGCATCCTGCAGCAATTGTACTTTGCCACCATGCGGTCTTTCTTCTTTTTTTCTTTAAGATCTGCTGATTTTTATTTGAAAGGAAAATTTACAGAGAGGAGAGAGTGAGAGAGAGAGAAAGAGAAAGAGAGAGAGAGCGAGCGCGATATCTTCCATTTGCTGGTTCACTCCCCAAATGGCTCACTGGCTACAGCTGAGTCAATCCAAAGCCAGAAGCCCTTTTGGGCCTCCTAAGCAGGTGCAGGGTTCCAAAGCATTAGGCCATCTTCTGCTGCTTTCCCAGAACACAGTTAGGGAGGTGGATGGGAAGTGGAGCAGTCAGGACATGAACCAGTGCCCATATGGGATGCTGACACCTGAAGGTGGAAGATCAGCCTGTTGAGCGCTGGCGCTGGCCCACATGCAGTGTTTCACAAGCTGTGTCCAGCACAGGAGGCCTCAGCTTCTTGGTAATGAGCTAGTTCACTCTAACTTGTTTGAATAACTTAATCTCTTGCACAGGAGGTCTCGTGAAAGTAGCTTGTGGTGATTCCAAACTCAGCTGAAGTGCCCCCTTCATCCTCCCAGTTTATTAAGCTTAGCAAGGGATGAGCAGAAGTGACACACCAAATTGGCTTTCCTTATTATTGTTGCCACATCGCTTCCGAGTAGGCATGCAGGTTTGCTTTGCACTTTAACAACGACCAAAAATCCTTTTTCCATGTCTCTTGGAAAGATCGACACTCTGCCTCAACTTTTCTTTGTAGTCACCATTTGTGGGTTGTCAGTTCAGGTTCTGAACTTGATGCCATTCAAGATCAGATAACCTTCCAGGATGTGTGTAGCCAGAGATGTGATTATTTTGCGTTGGTCACTAGTCTAATCCTGCTTCCTGGATTAAAACAAAAACAAAAACAAAAACAGGTGCATTGTTGGTATCATTGATTCGTGTGTTTTTTGGTGTAATTTCCTTAATCTTCATCTGAGATTCTGCGTTTGCAAGGCTGACCACAGGCATGTCGATGGGGTTGGACTGGAGTTACTGAGAGCTGAAAATGGTGTCAGTCATTGGAGGCACGGTCATCAACGTCACAGCGAATGCACTCATCCTCACCAGATTACCGTAGCTCTGCTATAGTGCCTTAACACTGTGGCAACATGTGTGCTGTCAGCCTGCCTGGCACTACCTGCCTGGCACTGCCTGCCTGGCACTGCCTGCCCGTGAGTTACCGCAACATAGGTCAGCAAGTGCCAGCAGCTAACAAGGAGCACACACTCTTCACAGATCCTGTCTAGCCCACAAGGAAGTTCTTTGTCCCTCAAGATATATGTTATGATTATGATTCAATTAATACAAATGCATGTAGCTATGAAAAAGCTCCTGGATTGATTGAAATTTGGGTCTCGTCTGTGGTTGGCTTTGCAGGCCCAGACCACATGCCTTTGCAGGCCTCATAGGGCCTATGGGGCCAGATGTTCCTGGCCCTTGATCCAGAAGAAGGGGGCAGGAGCTCATAGCTTGGCATCTACAGTTCTCTGCAAGTCTCTTTCCTGGGGCTCGTTAGACTGAGTTCTCCTGCACAAACACTGCCCATGTTGCCTTTTATTTTGCTTCTGTTTGCCTTTTTGCCTCCTTCCTTTTTCCCATAATGGCCCCCCCATCAGTCAACACCGTTGATCACTCAAATGCTAGCAGACACGCTCACTCCTTTCCATCGTAGCCTCCTCTGCTCCAACTTAGACCGACAGCAGCTTTCCCTGGACCATTGTTCCGGGCCTCCAGCTTCTAGTCCTCCATGTTGCTGATGGGGCTCACCGTGCACAGTCCGGCAGTTTGTACACCATACACAGCTCAGTGGGGCTGCAGCATGCCCTGTAGTTCTCCTTGTCTGTTTATATGGAAAAAATAACGTTGGCAGTGTTCAGAGGTGCCATATAATCCTGGTAGTCTAGACCTATACTAATTTGGTAGCTACTAGCCAAGGTGGCTATTTTAATTCAGTTAACTGGAAAAATGTCACACTCAGGTTTCCATTCCTCAAGCATACTCGCTGTATGGCAAGAACCAAGAGTACAGGTGACTTGTGGCTACTGTGTTGAGCATCAGAGGAACAGAAAGATTCCCCCATTGTGCAAAGTTCTATTAGGCAGCAGCGAAAAGATCCCTTTTAATACAATTTACTAGTAAGAGTGATCATTAATGCTAAAGACATCCTTCTCACACTTAAAAGTCTTTGGTGATTTTCACTTCCATCAGTAACAGTTAATAGGTGTTCAATCCATTTAGTGGGTTGCAGCCAGCAACACAAAAAAATAAAACAGCCAAAAATTATAGAAGGGACGGTTGGGTCTCTGCTGTGGCCTTATCTGGTTGCCACTGGCATCTTGTGTCAGAGCGCTGGTTCAAGACGCCAGCGCTCAGCTTTCAATCCACCCAAATCCTGGCTATCTGTGAGGGAGACCCAGATGGAGCTGCTGGGGAAAGACCAAGAGGATGGGAGATCTCTGTGTTTCCCAGTCACTCTGCCTTTCAAATAGATGAATCTTTAAAAAAAAAAAAAAGGATGGAGAGAGTACCCATGGATCTTTAGTTTCGACAGATTTTTGTTTTGGTACGTTACCTGGGAAAAACTGGACGCTCAATAAGTTACTCACTCAGAAAATAAACCAAGGAAAAGCACCGATTTTGTGCAGCCAATATGAGTGCGATGCCACCTCCAGCCATGAGAGGGCGCCGGCGCGGCGGCCGTGGTGCGCAGGCGCGCTGGGAGGCGGGCACCGCGGCGGCGGTCGTGGCGGCGGCCGGGGGGGAAGTGAATGGTTTTACCCAGAGGGCTGTGCGCCGCCTTTCTCCGCTGGCCCCGGCGCCGCTCCCAGCTCCTCCGGCCCGGCCATGGCGTTCACGTTCGCGGCCTTCTGCTACATGCTGGCGCTGCTGCTCACCGCCGCGCTCATCTTCTTCGCCATCTGGCACGTGAGTAGCGGGGCCGGGGTGGCGGCGGGGGTGGCGAGGCGGGCGAGGCGGCCGCTCAGCCTCTTCTCGCCCCGGGCCGGTGGGCAGCGCACCGCGGGATGGGGCGGAGGCCGCGCGCGCCGCACCGTCCGGGGGTCCCCAGGGGGGTTTGGCTGCAGGTCGCGGGAGAAGAACGAGCCAGGGCCCGGGGGTCGCCCGGAGGACGCGCAGGCCGCGCGCGCCGCTGCTCCTCCGTGGCGGGGTGGGGCGACCGCGGTCCTGCCCGCCGGGCTCTGCGGGGACGGCGCCTCGCTGGTCCGGCACGGGGGGCCCCGCGCAGCCCCTGGCTCTCCAAGGGTGTCCGCACTCGGCGTGAAGTTGGGTGGATTTGCCTTTTAGGGTTTCTGCAGGCGTGCAGCCAAGGTTGAGATAGTTACAGAGGCGTTTGCAACTGAACTTTGCGGCACTTGATTTTTTTTTTCTGAGAGAATTGCATTTTGTTTTTTTTTTTTCTCCCCAGCCTGGGGATCTGTTTTTGTGAACTTGGGTGCAGAGCGGACTGCCTCCCGCAGCTTTCTGCCCCTAAACCTTGCTGTGACTGCCGGCCGATTTGGCCTCTGAGCCACTCTCTCTGTAATTTATGGTCGCCTGGTCTTAGTTATAGGGCATTTTCATGAGGTTTCGAAAATGCTGAGAAACCTTAAGTTGCCCCGGGGCAGTTTTGTTTCTCCTACTTGCGTCATGTTCCAGCCCGCCACCCGATCACCCTAAGATGTGAAAAACACATCTTCAGTGGACCCTTAAAGAAACAGGCTTACGTTCTCTGTGATGGTTCTACCAGAGAATTAAAACAAAACAATACAGATTTCTATTTCTGTGGCATGAAGTGAGAGGTGTTCCGAGAGCCCTGTGGCAGTCGGTTTCCTTGGAAAGTTTTCTTAGTTTCCTCCGGTCCTCCCCATATTCCAGTGCTTTCTAGAATGCCGTGCTTCATTTGAATGATGGCATTTTCATAACGGGATTTGTTAGGAAGCACTGCCAGGACCTGTGATGAGTGCCTTACATCCTGGGCTGGCTTCATTAGGTGGGGAACTTTCAGAAGTGACTGTTGCCTTAAAACTGGCAACTTGTAGAGCATGGGAGGCTGTTGAGGCAAAGAGGAGAGGGGAGGCGCAGAAACCATCCGGGCTTCTCATGGGCCTCTGATGCACAGTGGTGTGGAGCTTCCTGGCACCTGCTGCTGACTCAGTGCCCCACCCCCTTTGCCAGACAATAGGGAGATTTCTTGGAAGGGCACGTTTTTGCCTTTGGGAACCACATTGTGATCTTTTTATGGAAAAACTTGAACTGCACTTTAATTTAAAAAGTGAGTAAGGTAGCTTCAGCTTTGAAATGCGTGAGTAGGGGAAGTAGAGAATTTGAAGCCCTGTTAAAAAATTTTAAAAAAAAAGTGCCTTAGCTTGGTGCAGGTTTGGTGCTTGGTTAGCGGAGAGGTTGTGCTCTCGATTAGTTCAGAGTTCCTTCCAAGACAATTCTAAATAAACACGTAATTTAAAATTTTGTATCCTCCATGCAGTGAGAGGTTTTATTTCCCAATGAGATTTCAGGATTTCATTTTGAGAGTTCAAGTATAAGCTTCCGAGTCTGACTCACAGGCAGCCAGGACTCGGATTGTGGTAGGGGCTTTTTTGCCGACATTATCATCTGGTTAAATCTCCTTGTCTTGTGTGCCTGAGTGCCTGGGTCATTTGAAAGCCAAAGCTGCAGAAGTCCCCTTTAGAACTGTGTTGGATTTTAAGATCTCCTTGGTTCCTTCCTTGGCATCTTGAGGGATTTATCTGTATTGTCCATTTCTGTGGACGGTCTTGTGAGCATCTCTGCTCAGCCACACTGCAAAGATCTGAATTGCACTGTCTCGGAGGAGGGCTTAGGCCCCTCGAACAGAAACACACCCGGCCTCAAACTCAAAAGGCTCCTGCTAGTCACCTGTAGAAAATGCCCAATAGAAAGAATAGTTTTAAAGATAAGTTTTGTACTTTGCTTTTTAAGTTGGATCTTGTTGTAGCAAGTAATTGTTTTATTTTGATTCTGGTGCCTGTCTTGAACTTTGGGACTAAACTGTATTGGAACTAATGACAGTAATGGCAGATTGCTAATCATTTCCCCTGTAATCAGACGTCAGCATCTTCTCGTTTCACATTTATGGTTTTGTCTTTTATTCGTGTTAGGGGTTGTTAGCAAAGGAAAATCTCTTAATGGATACTGTCCTTTCTAAAAAGAAAAGGAAAAAAAAAGCCCCCAAATGAAACTCCAGTCTTGTTTAAAGCCCCCCTCCACATCCACTAAATGTTTTTGAAGACAGGTATGTTCTGGGCATGATTTTATGTTTTAGGTCCTGGGACATAATAGTGAATAGACTAAAAATCTTGGTTTTCCTTAAGATTACATTGAATAATTATTTTCATTTCTTTTTTTTTTTTTTTTTTTTTGGAGTTTGACAAAAACTCAGACTGGTGGATTTTATAAATATGACAGAAATTTAGAGCTGCCTCTTTTTTTTTTTTTAAATCAAACTGGGAATATTAGCAAGGAAATAAGCATGTTTGTTACAAGCTGGAAATGCTGTTTACTGACAGTACGGAGTAGTGTTGCCATTTACACCCCAGCGGGGTGAGCGTGGGGCGGTGCTGTGTTCCCAGGGGAGTCAGTGGCAGCTGCTGCTTTTCGCCTGATACCTTGTGTGTCCCTTGTTTTTGATTCTGAGTGCATTTTCACTTCAAAGGTCTGTATTTTGGTAACCTGTCAAGTTAGAGGCATTGTTTTGCAGAGAGTGAACAAAAACATGCCTGGAAAGAGATGTGTGTGGAACCTCACGGGAACAAACCGAAGTCCGGCTCTGGTGTCTCCTGGCCGTGGCCCGGGCAGGACATGGCCAGACAGTGAAGCCTGGCCCTTCTCCCCTAGGTACAGGGAGAGTGCTATGCTCCAGGACTAGGAAGTCCAGCAGGGAGAGGTAGCCCCTTGTCGCCTACCGGGGTGCAGGAGGATGCCCTTGTTTTTGTCCAAGGCAGTTTGGAAAACCCACTAAGAGTGGTTGATCTGGGCCCAGTGTAGTGGCCTAGCAGCTAAAGTCCTCTCCTTGAATGCAACGGGATCCCATATGGGCACAGGTTCTGATCCCGACAGCTCCACTTCCCATCCAGCTCCCTGCTTGTGGCCTGGGAAAGCAGTCGAGGATGGCCCAAGACCTTGGGACCCTGCACTGGCATGGGAGACCCGCAGGAATCCTGGCTTTGGATCGGCACAGCACCGGCCGTTGTGATCACTTGGGGGGTGAATCATCGGATGGAACATCTTCCTCTCTGTCTCTACTTCTCTCTGTATATCTGACTTTGCAATAAAAATAAATAAATTAAAAAAAAAAGAGTGGTTGATCTGTAGGAGGAGGGATTTTTTAGGATAAAGAGGACTTTGGATAAATAATTGTATAGGTTGGGGGTTAAAATATCCCAAATAGAAAATGTAAGAGAATGGCATTGAAGAAATGGAAAATTGAAGGTCTTTGTTTCAGTATTCCAGATAAATGTAGTGATGATGACATAACCGTATTTTCACTTCTTGTAATCTGGTTTCCGTGGTTCTTGCTAGTAGTTTGTGTTGAGTTTACTGTAAATTGGTTACAGTTATGTTGGTTTCACTTTTTAAGATATTAACTTGATTCAATAATGATTCAATGATGATGGGATAGGTTTGTTACTACTTTTTATGACGGTCCTAACTGTTGTAATTTTATTTTAGATTATAGCATTTGATGAGCTGAAGACCGATTACAAGAATCCTATAGACCAGTGTAATACCCTGAATCCTGTAAGTTACAATGTAGGATTTATCTTTGGAATTTCAAAATGTATTTGCTTTTACCTTGAAATAATTGTGAAAATGATAATCCCAATGGTATGATATACTTGTACTTTTGAAATAGGCAGAATTTTTTAAAAAGTTCTTTTTTTTTCTGCCGTGCTTGACTATTTTGTTATTAATCTGCTGGTGATCTTGTCAGCTGTCACACTAACATTCTTCCAATCTGCTTTCTACGTTGTCGGCCAGACAGTTGAAAAGGTCAAAAAGATTAAAAGAGTCAAAATTGCACTAAAGGTGTGTACTGCTTTTCAGTTTAACGCTTTGATGCCGCATTCATTTCATGGGGAGGGTAGGGCATTTGTATTTGTGTGATTCTGTTCAGTGTGCCTGTTCATGCCTGTTGAGGTTTATGATTTCATGAAATTCCATATTTTTATGCAAATGTTTGCTTGCTGGCCCAGTCCAGTAGGGAAAGCTGTTAAATGCTTATGCTTTTTTAAAAATATAGCCATAGGCACTGCTGTGTTAAGTTATTTGGTACAGTGTTTGAAAGTTGGTTAGCATGAAGTGACATCAGTAGAGCTCAATGTTGAGTTGTGACTTGTTGCTAGGTGGTGGGCAAGCGGCATCTTTGCCGCCCTTTGGTTTGTCTCTGGGTGTTTGCGTTCTTTGCCAGAGGCGGTCTTCAATTCATGCTTTCCCATAACCTTTCAGGTGGATGGCTCTCTTTGGGATTCTGGAATCTTGAGGTAATTGACTTGTGGACTTAGGCTGCCAGAATTTTATAGGAAGCAAATTTGTCTTCAATGTCCACATAGTTATTTCTAGTGTATGTTGACTCCTAAGTTTCTCAGGCAGACAGATCTACCTGTCTTATACTAAGTTGTGATCTTGGGGCTCCATTTGCTTGAAGGTGTTATTTATTCTATTATTTTAACTTGATTTGGGAAGATTGTCCCTTAGTTCATAAATAAATCAGAAACAGGAAGAAAACAGCAAATATATTTTCAAGGAGAATAGAGCAATTCTGTTTTTAAACAAATTACTTAAGTAAGAGAAATTTGTGCAGTCTGGTGCGCTCAGCACACCGGCAGGGTCTTACTTGGTGAGTTTGCAACTTAATAATTGCTTCTGAGGTAAGAATAAATGCTGGGTTAGTTTCTGATTTGCTTTTTGAGAATTATTAGAAAAAATTTGATGTAGGTACAATGAAAACTATTAACTTAGCAGCTGTGGCCATTGTAAAAAAAAAAAAATCTAGATTTTTAGTTATTGAAATCAATTGTTACCAGGAAATGAGATTTTATTCTGGAATTAATAGTGTTCTGTGCTCTTTGGCTCTTTATTGCTAATAACTCACTGATGAGGAGGATAGTAACTGCAGTCAGACGAGGCCTTTGTTGGGCATGAGGCTGCGTGGTTTCCCTGGATTGTTTTTGGTAGCATTCTCGCACCCAATCCTCAGAGGTGGGTATATTTTCCTTCTGAGTGTGGGAGAGCGTGAGGATGGCATGGCGAGCCTCTGACACTCTGGTCCAGCATGATGCTCAGGGTTCTGCAGCTAAGAGAGCGTTGGACCCTGAACCCAGGCAGCCTGGTTGCAGTGCTGGATTTCTGGCTTTTCTGGATGGGATGAGCGTGCCAGCCTCCTGATGCTGTGAGGTAAGGACAGCCCTGGTGTGGTGGCTCGGACTGCCCCGGCCAGGATGCCGACCGTTGGCTGAGCAGCAGGGCATCTGACAGTTTTCCCTATTGAAGTGTATGTTTTGACAGTTCTGCCAAAGTATGGGGGAAGACAACTGCTCTAATTTTTAAAAATGTGAACTTGAACAGGAGAGTGTCGCATTTTGCATGCTTGAGTGCTGCCACTTCAGCCACGTTTGCATGAGGTCTTTTTCCTGGATACTGGTTTGTATGTGAACTTGAGTTCCTAAGTAGAATCACTGTGTTGGTACCCAGTGGGCCAGCCTATCCCTGAAGAGTGGGGAGGACTACATAAGACCTGTCCCTGGGCTTGTTTTTGAGAAGGGAGGACATTTGGATGTAGTTGGCTATTAGAATTGGTGAGTTTACGTTAGAATTCTTACAAAAATAAGCATTTAAGAGCAGTGTGAGTGATGCTGATCACAAAATTATTCCCTTTCTAAACCCTAGTCTGGCAGGATGAGATGAATTCTTTGCATAGCAATTTGGATTGACTGACTTCATTGGTTTTAATTATGTATGCTTCCTATTTCTTTAAGAAATCCCTGTAATGTAAACTTCAGTTCAAGTGGAACCCTAATGAAATGTGTACTTTTCTTCAGTGGTCTTGGTTGTGGTCACTGAGCTTCCATAGAGGCTGGTTCAAAGGTTCCATTTACAGCTGCAGAGTTGATCTTGTTGCTTGATTTTGTAGACAGTATCTGGTTGGTGGTATAGTTTAGTTGGTTTTTACTGGGATTTCCTCTAAAGTAGTATTTGCCATAAAGTTGAAGAGGTCTAAGTTGGGAAAATTACTTTGAGTGTACAGAATATAGGCTTCAGTCTGCAGTGTAATTATTTTTCCAGACACTGTTTGCCCTTTGGGAGGATCTACTGAAGTTGAGTCATGTGATTTGAACTTCGGCTGAAATAAACTTGGGAAACTGGCTTTACGGCTGTAAATTGTTCAGGATTCTTTGGTTAAACTTGTCATGAAGGGTTTTGATATTTTTAACAAGGTGATTAGACTGAAATCTTGGGAATAAAAAAGATAATGAGCTTGAACTTTTGGTCATTTTATAAAAGCCTTTTATTCCCCCCTTAAATCAGCTTTTCTTCACTTAACACTGCCTCCTACCGAAAGGTTTTGAGTTCTGCGTGTCTGCTGGTTTGAAGTTGTATCCCTAGTTGTTTGGCTGGCAGACATGACATAAGAATAATAAAGGCCATGGAAGAATGAGAGCTCAGGGACCTTCACAATTCCAGTGTCATGGTTAAGAAGCCGGTCTTTTCCCTCCTACATTGCAGAAGGCACTCTGTCGGCGTTTGTGCTTAGTGCCCCTCCCTCACTGTGCTGAGATCACTGGCTGATGCTTTCCATTGAGAAATGACTTGTGGTAATGTGATGTCATTGCCAAATACTGTCTATGTAGCTTTCCTGGTTTCTGTTAAAGGCTTTAAAAACACGAACGCGAAGATTTCCAAAGGGGAGTTTTGTTTTTTTGGATTTTTGTGTGTGTGCTTTGTTGCATGTGATCAGATATCTCATTTTTTGATATTTTTGTCATTATTGAGTGGTGGGATGAAAAAGTATTCCAACCTATTAGTAACTAGCTGAATAGTCTGGGTGGTAACTTTGTGTAAATCTACCCGTTGCTTTGAAGATGTTAGTTTTAAATTCTAAGCCTTAATTATTTTACAACAAGGTGCATCTTTCCATCAGTTTGCTCGTAGTCCTGCTTTTGGTAAAAAGTTAAATGAAGAACTAGAAGTCAGAGGCATTGTTCCTTCCTGTTTCTAAGGAAAGAGGGAGTTTGCCTAGGGAAGCAGAGTAGCTGCTGCTGACTGCCGTGGCGTTCACATGACGGCCTGTGTTTCTCTTCCAGCTTGTACTGCCAGAGTACCTCATCCATGCTTTCTTCTGTGTCATGTTTCTTTGTGCAGCAGAATGGCTTACACTGGGTCTCAATATGCCCCTCCTGGCATACCATATTTGGAGGTAATACTTTTGGAGGATATACTTTTAACGTTTTTTCTAATTAATGTTTAAATTGTACTACAGTTGTTGTGCTAGTTGCCTAAATGCAGATGGAAACTTAGTTGGTGTTTATTATTTTATAAAGATTGATTGTCTTATTTGAAGGGCATGGTATAACAGTAAAAGAGGAGAGAGAGGCAAAGGTCTCATGAACAGGGGTAAATGTTGTGGTGCAGTGCATTGAGCTACCACCTGTTATGCTGGCATTCATTGTGGATGCTTGTTTATGTCATAGCTGCTCCACTTTCTATCCAGCTCCCTGCTGTTGGCCTGGGAAAGCAGCAAAAGGTACACCAAGTGTTTGGTTCCCTGCCACATGGGAGACCCGGATGAAGATCCTGGCCCAGCCCTTGCCATTGCATCCATCTAGGGAGTGAACCAGCAATGGAAGGTTTTTCTGTGTCTTTCTCTGTTTCTTTCTTTCCTTTTTTTTAAAAGATTTGTTTTTATTTTGGAAAGGCAGATTTACAAAAAGCCGGAGAAACAGAAATATTTTCCATCTACTGGCTCACTCCCCAAATGACCACAACAGCCGAAGCTGAGCCAGTCTGAAGCCAGGAACAAGGAGCTTCTTCCAGGTCTCCAACACGGGTGCAGGATCCCAAGGCTTTGGGTCGTCCTTGACTGTTTTCCCAGGCCGCAGGACATTAACTGGCACCTGCATTGAATGCTGACACTCAAGTGGAGGATTAGTCTTTTGAGCCATTGCACCAGCCCTCCCCCCTCGTTTGTGTCTCTTTCTGTAAATCTGACTTAGAAATGGATAAATCTCAAATAAATAAATAAATAAATAAATAAATGGATACACAGAAAACTTTTAATACCTGCCAAAGATAGAACTTTATTGCTAAAGTGATTTTTAAAAGAAAATGAGGTCTGACTTAAATATAATAACGTGCACAAGTCTGAAGGGAGTAGGTTAATCAGCATTAATAGATGTTTACACCTGTGTAGCCGCTGTCACGACGGAGACGATACAGCAGCGTCAGTCCCAGGAGACTTGCTGGGTAGCCCTTACCTTCCTGGGTAGCCCTTCCCTTCCCATACCTCCCAAGATCACTGACGTCTTATCAGCTTAGCTGAGTTTTCTGTCTTTCAACTTTATATAAAAATACACAGCATGTGTTTAATTTCTTTCTCCATGTGTACCCTGTGAATAGAAATAAATTTAGCTATTTGTAAAGATTGTCTTTTATCATGATAATTATACCTACCCTGTGTAGAGTTAGAGCTTTTTGTTTTAATTAGGCATGTTAAAATCGCATGGCCCTTGAGTTCAGGAGGTGCTTACTGACATAACATTTAGGAATAAATTGATACGTCTCTGATTGACTCTGAAATGGTTCAAAAAGAAGTGTTTTCATGGTTAGAAAGAGAGGTGAGCAGATATGGTAAGTGGTTGTATTTGGGATATCTAAGTAAAGGATTCTGATACCTTTTTTCCCCTCCAAAAATTTATTGATTTTTATTTGAGGGGCAGATTTACAGAGAGGAGGAGAGAGACATAAAACACCCACCTGCCAGTACACTCCCCAAATAGCCATAACTGCCTGAACTGAGCCATTCTGAAGCTGGGAGCCAGGAGGTTCTTCTGGGTTTCCCACACTGGTCCAGGGTCTCAAGCATTTGGGCCAATCTTCACTACTTTCCTAGGCACACCAGCATGGAGCTGGATCAGAAAGGGAGCAGCCTGGACTGGAACTCATGCCCGTATGGGATGCTTGTACTACAGACAGACTTAACCTACTGGCCATGGCCTCTCTTGACATCCTTTCTTTGAGTCTGATATTATGTTAAAGTTTAAAAAAATACTTATAGTTCATTTTTTTTTCTTGGATTTCTGAAAATGCTAAGTGACTTGGTCATCTGTCCTTTTGGGCTATTTGTAAAATGAAGATGATGAAAGGCAGGAATTTTCACAGTGCCAGTGTGTTTCTCCTGGCAGCTGATGTCAGAGAGGAGAACCCCCTCCCAGGCTGAAGGCCTGCTGCGCTTCCCCAGTGACTAACAGCCTGCGTTTCTTCCAGGTACATGAGTAGACCGGTGATGAGTGGACCAGGACTCTATGACCCCACAACCATCATGAATGCAGATATTCTAGCATATTGTCAGAAAGAAGGATGGTGCAAATTAGCTTTTTATCTTCTATCATTTTTTTACTACTTATATGGGTAAGTTTAAAGAAATGAAAGTATGATTTTGCTTTGGTGTTCCTGAACTTGTAGGCATTCTGGCCCTCATTCCTGAACTTTGAGCCCCAGTTGAAGGACAACGTGGTGTCCTGAGAAGTGGTGACTGGCAGTGGCGCACCAGCGAAGTCCCATGGAATGTAGCATGTGCTGGTGATTGAACCAGCAGACCACTGGTGCCTTGCAGTGCTGGCATCTAGGCTGTTGCTTGCTGACCATTCAGAGACAATCAGAAAAGGACAGTCCTTGTTGTCCAAGGATAGGTGACGGTGCTGGGGAGATAGGGCTGTGGGTTTCTGCTGGGCTGCAGTTCCTCTCTAGAGGTGTGCTTGGTTTTTCCCCTCGCTCTTCTACATAAACTTTATGCGCTTTGTTATTCTCTGGTTTGCTTGACTAGTGTGAGCTGAATGAAGGAAAGAACTCTGCCTTCCTGAGTAGTGGGTTATCAGGTAGTGGTCACCTTTTCTCAGCGCTGGTGCTGCTAATGTAGTGAGAAGCTGTCCAGAAGGTTCTGTAGTACCCTGATTTCTACAGATGGCCTGTCAGTAGTGGCCCTGCCCCAGTCATGACAGCCAGAAATGACTCTGGGTGATGCTGAATTCCCCCTTTGGGGCATTCTTTACCTCTGCTCTTGGTATATTGTCTGTGCCATAAAATGACTGCTTGTTGAAACTGGACAAGGTCATGGTTAAGTGTGGAAACAGAATGGTTCTTTAAGCTATTTGAGCTTTCCAGTTCATTTTCAAAATGTAAAACCGTTAGCTATATATGATGAAGTTTTTGAGATAATGAAATTTCAATTACCTTTGCTTTTTGTCACTGAAAGCCTGCCAAGTATCATGTGCTGGGCTTCTGTTCACATTTCTGTTTGTTACACATATTTCCATTGTACATAAAGATGATTGAGATTTAAGAAAGACATTTTCAGGCATTTAGAGGTTGTCACTGTAAAAAAGAATTTTATAGGTATTTCATGTATATGAAACAAAGATAGTGAATAGATTCTGAAAGGTTCCAAGTTTCTGTAACACGTGTATAGAACTCTCAAACTTGATGAAAGGAAGAAAAGAAATGAATGAATGATAAAACAAGGTGGGCAGTCGTGGGAAAATGGCCAGTCGGATTTGGAAGCACTTGGATAGTGTTTCAGAACTGTCCAACAAGTTTGCTCCCCCCTTGCCTTGTGTCTCCTCTCACGTCCTTCCTCCGTCACGCTTCCTATAGAATTGCCCTTGTGGTTGAAGCCCAAGTCCTAAGCTCACTGCCTTTTATTTTGCTGACTTAACCTGGTTTTCTGTTGCTATTGCTTAGGGTTTTTTGTTGGTGGAAATGTGCCTCGATTGCCCATTTCCTTTTGTTAAATGGGTATAATGGCAATGCCAGCCATTATTAAGTGAGGCAATGCCTGGGCAAGAGCTGGCATGGGGCCTTGCGCAATGGGGTGTGGGAAGGAGTGCTGTCAACAGATGCTTGCTCCTGGCTAGAGTCTTTGCCCCAGGCACCACACTGAGGCATTTGAATCGCCTCTCTGAGCCCTGGTCCCCAGAAACTTTGGGGTAGATCCTAGGTATGTACTGCCTGCTTGCTAACATTGTAAAGGGAACGGGGACTGCTACAGTTCAGGTACTGAGCAAAAGTTTGTGAATGCATATTTGAATTAACTGGCGAGCCTATCTGTCTACCTGTGCTGTGATAGGATGCTCCCACTTACCAGTTGGCAGTGTCAAGTAGGTTGAACTTTCTCATGTTGCCAGGCTTTGGAAGTTTTGTATACATTTTAACAGTTCTTCTCTTCTTTACAGCATGATCTATGTGTTGGTGAGCTCTTAGAACAACACACGGAAGAATTGGTCCAGTTAAGTGCATGCAAAAAGCCACCATATGAAGGGATTCCTTCCAGCAAGATCCTGTTTCCAAGAGTAGCCTATGGAAGCTGATAAGTTACTTTAAAAATGACTCCTTATTTTTAAAATGCTTCCACATTTTTGGATTGTGGAAAGACTGTTTTCATATGTTACACCCGGATACAGAATTAAATGGAATTAAGCATAAATTAATATGAAATGATTACCTCTGGTGTCGACAGGTTTGAACTTGCACTCTTTAAGGAACAGCTATAATTCTCTGACTGATTGCGTCAGTTACTGACTGTTCTTAGTCCATTGAAACTTTTCTTTATTACAGGAACTTGTAGGGCTTATTTTGGTTTTATTGAAATGAATTTGATTATAAATTAGCTGTAGATATCAGGTGCTTCTGATGAAGTGAAAATGTATATCGGACTTGTGGGAAACTTGACATGTTTCCTCATCTATCATGTAGATGATTATGGATACATTTACAAAAATAAGAGTGGGATATTTTTCCCTTCGATTTGAGTATTATCCCTGTCTATTGCATGAATGAGAGATTTTCTCATAGTTCCATCAGAGTAATATACTTGCTTTAATTCTTAAGCATAAGTGAACATGATATTAAAAATATATGCTGAATTATTTTTGAAGAATGCATTTAAAGCTATTTAAATGTTTTTATTTGTAAAACATTAGTAAGAAATTGGTTATGCTTACTGTACTAATCGGGTGGTAAAGGTATTCTTAAGAATTTGCAAGTATGTTAGCTGTTCAGAATGGAATGAGAGACAAAGCTTTGTAACCACCCCGCTGTTCCTTTAGTGCAATACAATAAAATTCTGAAATTAAGACTTTCAGCGCATTGTTTTAAAGATTATAAGTAGCAACTACTTAAATTTACTTAAATCTGTAATAAAGACATGTTATTGTCGTTAGAAAAAACAAAACTGTGGAGTATTATATTGTAGTTTTTCTTGAAAACACCATGCCCAACCTAAAAACGGTTTCAGATGGCCCAAGTTTCTTCCTTTCGCCTACTGTCTGGTGAGGTTCATCAGTGATGAAAGCATAGATGTCATCTTTCTCTTAACCAGCTGAAAAGCATTAAGGCATTGAAAATGTGTCACGAATTTTTTGTCTGAAACGGCTGTTTTTAAGGAAAAGGAATTAGTAAATTGGAATTTTTCTACTGCTTGTAAGGCAGATAAGTTGTATTTTACAGGTTATGGTAAGCATGTTCGTGCTTTCTTTGGGATGAAGAAGTTAAGGTGACTGAAGACAGTGTGTGTGCTTCCAAAGTTTCTTCAACAGAGTATCAGAGAAGGGAAATCGATGTACAGGAACTCCCCATGATGATCCTCGGAGCTGATGGGTGTGCTTGGGGACCTCTTCCTGTGTTTAATTCTGTTCTGGCAAAGAAAGTGCTGTAGGAATTACACATCTCCACCCTGGGGAGAGTAGCTGTTTTCAATAGGGATCAAGTAATTGGGATGATACGTTGAAGAGGAGGATGTAGAACTAGAAGAGTCGTGGCATTTCACCACAGGGAGAGCTCTGAAGTCCCTGTGTCTCACCGTCTGGAGAGCCGCCTGGGCAGTTTGGCCAGCCACTCGTTGTTCCTGCTGTCAGTTACACATTGAGCACTGCTATGCACTAAGGATTTCTGCTTTGAGTCATTTTGGTTTCTAGTCTGCCCCCTCTCCTCCCTGCTCCTGGGTCATATGGGTACCCACTTCCTCATTTTTCTTTCCTGTTCACAAAGTACTTGGGAACAGCAGTCCTGGCCACGTCTTCTATATTACACATAGGTTCCTCGGGCTCTTACTGTAGTGTCCCTCTCCCAAGTAATATTCCTCATTTTCTTAGGAAATTCCAGTTTGCTTTTATAAATTTTAGCAGGCATCATTGTAATAGCCTATTCCAGAATATTCCCCATGATTCATGCAAGTCTTACTGGTTGGAAGGCAGATTTTCATGCTTCCAAAATTCAATGTGGTCCTCAGCCAATTCCTCAAAGGTGGCAGTGGAATGTTGTTAGTTCCTAGGCATGTGATTAGAAGTGATTGATTTTATCTTATCTCTCCCAGTGTGTTATGAAATTATGTTACTAAAACAGAAAGGAGACACTATCTTCCAGCAATACCTGTTAGCTCTTCTCCTTTTTGAATTTGTTACACCCATCAGTCTTGTTCCAGGAGGTCCAACCTCTCTGCCACACCTGCAGGAGATTCAACTGAGTCATGGTCTGCATCTGTAATTCTCAGCTTCTCTGAGAGGTTCCATGTGCAGCAACAGTTGTTTATTGAGGTACTGTTGTCTTTTTCTCCTGATCACTTGTGGATATTATGTGCTTCTCTTGATAAGAGCTTCTGAAACAACTGTCTTCATTTTTGCCCATTTTTTTGTATCTAGTATAACATTGGTTATATCTATACCAAGATAGATAGCAACAAGATAGATAGTAAATGTCATTTAGCACTTCTCACTTCTTTTGAGTATAATATTGTATCATGGTGATATGCCCATTTACCATTAAGGAGTTTGTGTTGGTTTTTTGTCCTGAAGCAAGTATCCGAGAAGCTTTGTACAGAGAAAGAAAGTTGCTTAGGCTCACAGATTTGATGGTTCACAGTTCAAGATAGGGTGCCCTGTTGGTCCAGGGTCTGATGAGGTTGGTGGCTGGAGGAAGCATCATGTGTGAGCTGGAAAGCAGCCAAGAGCCTGCTTGTCCTCCTTAGGGGCCTCTAGGGGCTCCACTGTAGTATTTTAGTGAAATCTTTTCTCCTTTCAAGGGCCACCTTCCTATAGGCCAACTGCATTCAATCTCCTTTAATCTATTAGCCCGTTATCAGCATAAAGCTTTGGAACCAAGCCTCCAACGACACATGGGCCTTGGACACTCCTGTTGTGTACCCAGAGCTGTGGAGTAGGAAAAGTATCTAATGCTGTTTGGTGCTTTTCATAGTGCTGAACTGGCTTTCCCCCCTTGCCATTCCTAGTTAGGGGAGAGTTTGATCCCAGGCTTGTAGACAAATTGCTAGTTTGTTTGAAGTTTGTATTATTTGTCATAGGAAGGGGAAGTGAGAGGAACTGACCACAGTCGTCTTCTGATGTTTTGAACGTTTGTGAATCATCTGTGAATGTGTATGGCCAGACCGATTATGTTCAGAGTCGTGGATGGCGATCTTTCACATCAGCAGGGTTTGTGGCCGTGTACATCACGTGTCTCTTAAAGCCTGCCTGCTATTGGCCAGCTACAGCAGCACTCATGCAAACATCTCTCCTAAAGTTCTCCTGTGTCTCCAAATTAGCATCATGTCAAAATATGTCAGATACTTGCATGGAAAAAAGATAGAGCTCTATCTGTCTGTTGATCAAATTACATGTTTAGGAATAGCAATCATGGGGTATCATTGCCATGGTGCATGGAATAGCTTCTGATGTCTTGTACCTTACATGGCAGAGCTTTCTTTTGAATTGTGGTTAATGATGTATATTTAAGAATCATGTTAATCTGGACTGGCTTATTTGTATCATTTTGCATCCACAAATGTGAATCTTTCAATAATCAGTTGGCAGTAGAATTGTAAATCAGAAGTTTTGATGGCAAAAATATTTTAAAACATTTTTAGAGGGCAGTGAAAAAGTACTGATGCCTTTTTGTCTAGCATTGTTCATGAAAGTACCTGTGTTTGTCCTTGCTGAAAACAATGTCAGTCTCAAATAAATAATTTTCATTTCCTTTGTTGAAACCAGTCATGATTTGGAGCCAGACCAGCAGCTAGTCAGTTTCTGATCCTGATACTAGAGCTTAGAAGATGGTTCTGAACAAGTCCTCCAAAGAGAAGCCATAAGGACAAATGAGGTTCTATTTCTGTATTTATTGACTATCTTCCTTAACAGCAATTTCACGTTGACTAAACTCATTCAGAGCTGTAAGGCTAAATGTCTAATAGCAGTAAATAACTACTGCGTGTGATGCTAGTTTCCAGGAAGTAGCTTTAACCATGGAAGACGCGGGGTTGAAGATTTTTGTCCTGCATTGATGCATGTTTGTAGATGTGGAGAACCTCTTGACATGCTTCAGAATGAATTGCATCTCTCATATGCTAATTTCAGTGTACATTGCTTTTTCTAAGTATTTAGATTTCTTTGGTTACCATGTTTACAATTTTTTGGAGAAGAAATATCTTAGCTCAGTGACTAGGGTAGACCTTTAAGAGAAATGTAAAATGTAGTTGGCTGCTTTTGTGCTCATTGCTTGTTAAAATCTTAAGTTAACCTTATGGTGCTGTTCCACTGTCCAAAGAAATGCTGTTGAGTAGCCCTATCTTAGTCCTTAGAGCTTGCTTATTTTGCTTTTGTATATTTAATAAAAATTGTCACAAATATTTTCTTGTGTAGTTTATGGATAATGGTTGAGTCTTGGTGTTAATTCAGTGTCAAATGCAGGCAACTGATTTGTGTATGATGAGAATGTGGTACTTACCCCCAGCGTCTCCCACGCTCCTGGCATTAGTCTGTGGGGTATCAGAGGATAGGCCAAAAAAAAAATATAATGCTTCCACTATAACATTGGGATTGCATGTTGTTAAACTTAGCTATACAATTTCAGAAATGTTTTCCCTTATTACTGTTAATGTAAGGAGTTCGATCAGGTATTTTAAATGTCAAAAGCTTAATTACCACTTGGAATGGAAATTAAGAGGTGCTTGCACTTTGAAAATTTGATGATCACAAGATTTGATTAATCCATTTTCCTAAATGTTTATGAATAAGCTACATATTTGGAGAAAGTTAGGATTTGCCAATGTCAATTTCAGTGGCTCTCTAATAGAATATTGTGACTTTAGTTTATTTAGTTGCAATACTGGAATCATGAATTCAGCCCATCCCTCTTGCTTTAGCTCTTGGTATTTGTTATCAGGTAAGAAAGCCCTAGGTTCAGCATTTTGAACTGGTGGTGATTCACCTGCCAGCCTTATCAGTCTCATACTCTTCAGTTCCAGAAGCAGTGCATGTGTACAGGTGTTAACTGGATTTTCTGTGGTATCTCTAGTGTGCTCAGGTTTCCTGACAGCATTCACAGTTGTTCTGGAGCATTCCCTAGTGAAATTCAAGTAGTTCAGCAGCAGCAAGAAGGTTGTGGGACAAAGCAAGACTTTCAGTCCTCTGTGATTTATTAACTTGATTTTGATGTGTTGCCACTCTGTCCTCTGTGGTAGTGTCTAAGGCTGCAGTGACAGAAGTAGCCATATGACCTGTCAGTGAAGACCAGCAGAAGATCCCTTGCCTGAAGTACTGCTTTGCTAAGACAAGGGCCTGTGACTTGCAGGATTATGATCTGTAGCTAGATGATTGCTTCAGATGGCTCAAACCTCTACCTGAAGACAAAAAGGAATATGCCCTGGAATGTATCACAGCTACCTGCAATGCCATGGGCTCCAAACTATGTCCTAACTCTTTCATTTCCCATCCAGCTTCTTGCTGATGTGTCAGAATGCAGTGGAAGGTGGCCCAAGTGCCATGTGGGAGACCAGTTGAAGCTTCTGGCTTCTACCTTCAGTCTGGCCCAGCCCCAGCTGCTGCGTCCACTTTGGGAATAAACCAGTGGTTGGCAAAAAGATAAATTCAATAGTAGAGTGTGGGCAGGGGGAGAGAATCAGAAATATTACCCTGTAACTGAGTTCTTTATAAATAAATGTGGAAGAGAGATTCAGATCTCTCCATGGAACTCCCTAGGTGGAAAAATGAATGCTGTAAAGACGGAGCAGCTGTCTAGAGTCAAGGAGGCCTCATCTCAGGAATGTCCCAGCAGATGTTGGATAAACAGCTGTTAAGACCCATGCAGCCTTGGGAGGGAAGTGACTACCAGACTCATGGGATGCCTCAATTTTTCCCTTAGTCCATGAAGTAGAAAAGCAGTTAAGGAAATCTGGGGAGGAACAGTGGATGCAGGTTATTTGAGAATAAGTGTCAGTGCTTATACAAAACCAAGTATGCCCTTATGCCGCCTAATATGTCACTGTTTTACCAACAGTAAAACGAGGTAAAGCTGTGGTTTGTCATAAAAATCTAGGTGTTTCCCCCCATATACTTTTTCCATTATTACCCACAGGTAAAATACACTAGGACAGCCAGCCAGTACATTTCCAAAAGGGAAATCGTGCACTAATTGTTCTAGCCTTCTGAATAAGAGATGAAGAGACCAGTGCTCTTTGTCAGTAAAAGCTTTAGGAGTATCTGCACATATACATTTATACTTAAATTGATAATACTGGACTTTTCAGTACAAATTATATAGAGAACTCAAATTTCAGACATGGTCATATATAAGTATATATGTATGCTCTTTGAAGCTCTTCTTTATCTTGATACAGATCTTGATAGTGAATCTCTTGATGACAGATGTGCAGCTAGCTTGTCCCGGAACTCATGAAGATAGTTATATTGCTGAAAAGAATAAAAATGCATTGGGATAAGATTGTAGCAAACCAGTTACCAGAGTAGACACAATACTAGCAGGTGTCAGGAATCAAAAGAATACTTGCTAATAAGCATAATTTACCCCTTTGTGGGTAAGGAAGCATTTAAACTTCTGGGCAAGTTTAATCCCTGAATGAAACTGCATACACTGTGAGAAGCCTCTGCTTTGAAAAACAAAAACCAACAACAACTCCAGTGCCAAGTGAAACATGTGTATTTATAAATCTATCTCACGATGTATTTTATTTGCAAGAGGAGAAACTTGAGCTTCTTGGATTAGAAGCATTATTTGATTACAACCCAGTAAAGAGCATTGTTAACAACTTGTGGAATGACATGTTCTTGTGTGAGTAGTCCTGGGAGTGCCAGGAAGCCCGAGAATCCGGCTGCGTGGTGGATTCATCAGTAATTGGAAGCATTCACTAAGTGTGCAGGTGTGGATCCCTAATCTTGGGCACACTGACTCGCAAAGGTGTGGGACTGCTAGAGGTCAGGATTCTTCCCTCCCACTGATGATTTCCCTGACACTAACATTTCGTCTTACAGTTGAGACACACTGGATGCCTGGCAAAGAAGGGCAGATTAACAAATAAAGTGAAAGTTTTAGCAGTGTGATTAATATATAACAGTTTCCTTGGCATGATTCCTATGTTATTTTTGGAGTGTTAGGAGGAACACAAGATATCACCTGAGTTATACAAAGAAAAGGATAATCAGCTCAGCTTTACATTTTTTGTATTTTAGTGTTTATTAGTATTTGTATCAAGAGTAAAACAACAAGTAAAGATTTTTTTTTCATGCTTCATTTGAAATGTCATGAGCTTTTGTAAATACCTGGGTGATTTTAAAATATGAATTAAAAAATAAAACAAGCAGGTGACCCGTGGTGGCCCTTCTGGTCAGTGTTACCTTGTTACCTTGGATTGTCACTGTCTTCCCCAAGGACAGGGCCGCTCATGTCTCTGCCCACCCCCTCACCTTTATGGTCTGAATGGCCCCAGATCCTCGCAGGTCCCGCAGGCTGTCTATGGCTTGCTGAGGTGATACACTGTCGGACAGGTAGAGCAGGAGACAAGCGGCTACTAATAAGACATGGCAGAAAAATAGGATTAAGTGACTAGTGGGAGAATTGGACTCACCCTGTCTAATTATGCTTCTGTAGCAGCAGGGGGCTTTGATTGTAACTTACAAAGGAATTACCATTGTGTGTTTTGTACAGTAAAATTATCTGAAATGACTGAGCCTGGATTAAAGTTTAACCCTGCTTCATTCTTTTAAAATTATTTTACTGAGTTATAAAGAATTCATATATCATACACACTTCAATCATTTAAAGGGTATAACCCAGTACCTTCTTATTTATTTTATTGTTTATTCAAGGGGTTTGCAGCTAACATCATAGTCAGTAGTTTAGAAAAATTTTCGTTGTCTCAGAAAGAAATCTTGCACCCCTTGTTATCACCTTGCCTTAATCCATCTGCCCTGCCCTAGGCAGCCACTATCTACTTCCTGCCCTGATACTGTCCTAATCAACATTTCATGTCAGTGGAATCATACCATGTTTTCTCATGTGTCTGACTTCACTCACCACATACTCAAGGTTCACATACAGGAGGGATCTTCAAAAAGTTTATGAAAAAATGTTTTATGAGAAAAACCATTCATGGGCTTCAAAATATCTCCCTCCTCTCCCCTCAACATCTTCAAAAATACGATTTTATTTGAAATGCAGAGACAAGGAGGTTCCTTTTGCTGCTTCACTCCCAAGGTGTCTGCAGCAGGCCAAAAGCCAAGGACCCAGAACTCAGTCTGGGCCTCCCGCTTGGCCTGGCATGGACTTATTACCTCCGCTCTCCTGGCTGCTTCTCAGGATCAGCATTGGCACAAAGCTAGAATCTGATCTAAGCCATGACTCTAGCCCTAGCACCCTGAGCAGGCGAAGGGGTTCCCCCAACAGGGCTTTTACTAGCTCGGCCAGATGCCAACCCTTAAGCTTCATTTCTCCATGAATTTTTTGAAATGTCCTCTTTTTTTGAAGTAACAGGTATCGACAACTCTGTGTGTGTGTGTGTGTGTGAGAGAGAGAGAGAGAGAGAGAGAGAGAGTGAGAGAGAGAGAGACCAGGTAATATCCCCCAGTATGGACATATTAATGGACACTGGGGCTGCTTCCATTTTCTGGGGTTTTCACAATAAATGTTTCTAAATATGGCCCAGTTTTTGTATGAACATGTTTTCCATTCTCTCTGTTAAGTGCTGAGGGATGGCACTGCCAGTTCATATGGTGACTCTGTGTTTAACTTGGGGAATAACTGCCAGAGTGTCCCAAAGCAGCTGTGCCCCTGCACTTGCCCACCACTACACCCCTCCTGGGACTGCTTGGAGGGCACAGGAGTCACCTGTGACAAGTGTCAGGTGGTTTGCGGTGACTGCCTTTCCCAGATGGCTAATGATGCCACACATCTTTTCATGTGCTTGCTTGTTTTGTTTGGGAGAATGTCTGTTCAGACCAGTGGCCCATTTTTCAAAATCAGGTCATGTGTCCTATGTTTTAAGAGTTCTTTATGTATTCTGGATTCAATACTTATCAAATACGCAATTTGAAAAGTTTTTTCCCCCCTATTCTATAGGTAGACTTTCTGGAAAGCACAAAAGTTGTTCATTTGGATGTTGTTCAACACTAAAAGGCCTATCACACTCCAGTGTGTGGGATTTCATGAGTTGATTTTGCATCTTTCAGCACACTAAACATTTTTTTTTGAAGTCAGCATACAGTAATTAACATTGTTATTTATATTTATGATACTCCTAGGTATTGATTTAGAGATTCCTATCAGTATTATAACATTTATTTTGGGAGAACATTGAGAGCACAGCGCAGCTACTGAGATGTACATTGAGTTT